CGTCAAGGGGCTTCAGAGATCAAAGGGTTCCTTGCCAGGGGTCCTAGTAAGATTGAAGGGTTTATAGGATGGAGGGTTTATGGCTAATTGCAGGGTTTATGGTTTAGGGTTTAGGGTCATTCCGTGCCTCCTCTACTCGAGCCGGAGTGCTGAGGTTTCTCAAGCACAACAACATCCCGCATGAGGCCAGGATCCTGGCAAGGAATCAGCTCACCGTCGTCATTCAAACGCTTTTGTACACACATACTATAGGTATAGGAGTCTTAATAATTGGAACAGGGTTTTGGCGGGTTCCCAATTATAGTATAATGGACCCCCAAACCCTATTCATCATTAAAGCCCCTATGTTACACACAGTCCCGGTTTCTCGAGTCCAATTTCATCTAATCACCCAGGCCGGCTGTTCTCAGCACGTGGCTTTCAAGTTTCAACCCAACGGGTTTTGTATGGTGCGGCCCCTACCCCAAAGCCTACCTCAAGAATGCCCGCAAGTCAGGAAAGCAGCCCCTGAGCCCTCAACTTCCCCCAAAGCTCAGCGAAATGACAACCGCCAGGTTGAGCACAAGGTCACCCAGTTCTTGCAACACCAATATTCGGAGAAGCAGCAGTCGAGGCTGGTCATTACCTTGGGGACCGACTGACCTTGATAAGTAGGAGGCCCTAGACCCGAAAACTATGAATCCATCATAATCCATCTATGGTAAATGACCCTTAAAACCGCTTTTGGGTTCTTGTCGTCCTTAAAGTAGCTAGTAGCTTGTTGCAATGGCTCTTACGAACATTGCCCATAGTCTTGCGATAGATTGTGCTAGATCCTACAGTTTTGGTTCTGAGCTATTTTGTTTACTGTGTTTGCGATGGTATATAACTTTCTGCTCTTTCTGGTCTGCTACAGGAACATTGACATGGATTTGAGCACTTGGATCCTGCTGCAAGCTGTCATGTCCGAGTGAGCCGTAGTTTCGCTGCTGGAGTCTGCGCCGAAAGATCCTGCGCTCTTGCATGGATCTTCGGCTTGTCTCTGTAGCTTGGGGCTTCGTCGAGAGCAGGAAGTTCGGCACTTTGAGTGTTGAGCTCGGGAAGTCAGCCGACTTGATCGTCTTTGTTGCAGTGGATCACAAGCTGCCACCTAGGAAATCCTAGGAACCATAAGAACTATATGAGGCCTAATATTACTCTCATAAAGCACTAAACCCCAGACCCGGGAGCCCCCAAAACACCTTACTGGAGGAAACAGAACCCTGAAGCACAGCTTCTGTAGAGCCAAGTAGCCGGCCCATGAAGACCAGGAATAGCAAGAACCTAAACCCAAGTCATAACGCAGCTGTAAGTAAGAAAGAACCTTAAACCCAAAACTCTCGAAACAAAATATGAAGCCCTACATACGGGACGCCTAAACTCGCGAAAGGCTTTGATTCCTAAATTGAATAGAAACCTACGGGTCCAGGCACCTAGTACCCATATACTTTCCCAGATGGTAACCTACATGATTAGTTGTTCTCCGAAGCCTAAATGCCTCATTGTTGGGTTTTTTGGACCCGTCGGGAACCCTCCGTAAAACCCCACAAATCCCTCTATACATCCTGCATGGACCCTTATGGAACCCCTAATTATCAGATCCTTTGGGCCCTTAGGGAAATAGACAAGCGTGATAGGTCCGCCGATGTCCGAGTGCCCCTGCTTGACCTCCTTTCGCCGCCTCTCTTCAACGAGCTCTGCTTCGAAAGGTGGGACTTAATGGGCTTGCGTTGGTTTAGGGTTTAGGAATTAAGGGTTTGGGGTTTAAAAGTTTAGGATTAAGGTTTAGGCTTAGGGTTATTGCCTGAGGGTCCGAAAGGTTCCTGGATCAGTTCTACAAAGGGCTGTAAGGCTGTAAGGGCTTTGAGGGCTGCTTGTGATGAGGGCTTGGGTGTTTAGGGTTTGCAAGCTACGTTTTAGGGTTTAGGGTTTTGGGTCTGGCTTTCGGATTTAGGTCAAGTGCTTGGAGTCAGGACTTGGCACTCGTGGCTCAAGGCTCTTGGGTAGAGTCTAGAGGGTGAAAAAAAGTCGCGCGGTCGATGCAAAGATAGCGTGTGGCTTGTTCTGCAGGGTTTGCAGGCTGACACAGCCAACAACGAAGCTGGAAAGAAGCAAGCGCTGCAGCACTCAAACCCGAAAGCCACCACAAAAATTGGACTGCGCTTAACCCTCTGTTATGCCGACCTTGCTGGGTCTGTTCATTTCGAAGCAAGAGCAGGTACCGTGACTCGCTGTGCAAGCTGAAGTTAGTCGACGACTTGCTCGAAGACCCGGACATGCAGACTGTCCTTGCTTGGGCCTCGGAAGGTTTTTACAGCTCTTGTTTTTTTCGATAAGGGTGCGACAGACAGTGGCGTAGTGGTTTTCTAAGGGTGTTGAAAGGGTTTTATACGGGCTGTTGAAGGGTCCCAGAAAGGCTTCGTAAGGGTTGGGCCGTGGAGTTTTTGGTCCGGTGATATCTAGGCCGAGCTTTTGACTCTATACAGACTTCCCGTTAGCCCAGGCGATTTCCAAGCCGGCTTCTTTTTCAAGAGGTAATACGGCGAAGCACGGTGGGAGCATGTACCCACATAATGCCCGATATACCTAATATTGTGGAGCCCTGCCCGCAAGTCTAAAACGTCCGCAACCGCAATGTACAGCCTTGAATATTTAGCTAGATTCTTCTACTGCCCCCATACAAAACCTATATAAAAAAGCTTCATAACCCTGTAAATCCCTGGAAGAAAACATTCGAAGTATGAAGGCCTATTACATATGTTTGTTAAACACTAAGCCTCGGCATTGGCTTTCCGAATTCAGCCGCACAATTCCCAGGAAAATTTGACGCTTCTGCCCGCAAACCCTTTGTCGCTGCGCAAAATGCCAAGCCATGATCCAGATTTCCCCCTACTTCTAGCACTACCCAAAATAGTACTACGCGACCCCCCCGCCCAATATTACATCATTCCGCCGCAGTAAAGCATACTATATTGTAAGCTTGTTCATGACTACCCATGAGCATCAGCACAGAACCAACTACCTACGAGCTTCAAGCAAGCTTTGGAGGGAAGCCCCAACGTCCAATCGACTTGGGCAGACTCTCCAAATCTTAGACTTCCAGGGTGACCTGTGGCCCAAACTTTCCCCGGCTCGAGCCTGTCCCTGCCCTGCCTGCCCCACCCGTGCATGCCCTCCTGCCGCCTGGTTTTGCCTGTGCCTGTGCCGGCTGTCTCGCTGCTCGCTACCCGGGGCTTTGGAGTACTATACTTGAATACTTGTTTGGGGACCTTTTCCTTAAAGCAACCACAAGGAAATGCAAGTCTATACTTTTTTCTCCCTGGTTACTTCAATTCAAAGCCCAGTACCTATCTATACCTACCAGCCGGCCTCGCTGGACGGACCGACAGATCAGAAAGCAGGTTGAGAATCCTGATTCCTCTGCAGCTCTACATCAGGTCCTTGGTGCTGTTTCTTCTGATGCTTCCCCTGCTGCCGGTAATTGCATTAACTATGATATAGCTATGACTCTCTTTCGTCGTCGTGCTGTGCCAATTCTGGAGCTCATGAAGGAAGCGGTATGCACGCACTCTTTCATTTGGACTAAGAGCTATAATAGGAAGGCGCTAGTAACCAGAGGCACTATAGATCCGAAACCCCTTCATGGAGGGATCCCGAAGGCACTGCACCAATTGGCACGGAACAGCCTGACTCAGCTGGTGGCGGCCTCCGGGGATGTGATCTTCCTCAGCGGCAAGGTGGCGGCAGGGTCAAAGCCATGTACGTCTTTCCCTAACCTCCCAGGTACCTACTATATAGGGTACTAGAGCCCCTCGGGCCCTATATAGTAGGTACCTGGGAGGTTAGGGTTTGATATTCAGACGGCTGATAGCGGGGTAGTAATCTGCGTCAACTTACACACTACGAGAGCAGCTGCAGCACTGAGAGAGCGAAAAGTAACTCGGCTTCAGAGCGAACTTGACTACTTCTAGCAAGACAGATGGCAACCAGCAAAGCATTGTGCCGAGAAGCTGGTGGCCCACTGCGTGCATTTCTGTACAGTAGCGCTCATAGAACCGTTTATAGAAACCCTTGTAGAAACGGCCCTGTGACCAACAACTATGTAAGACTATCAGACTCTGCAGTCAGACTGCTGGTGATGAATTGGGCTGGGTTGTGATGTAGGTTAGTCTTTGGGGATTCTATATGGTACTTGGACCCGTGAGGTCCTTCAAACGTGCAAGACGAGTATCGGCGAGCCCTATGAGACCCAGACCCCAAGCTTTTGGAACCTGTCATACCCATCCCATTCAAACTCAAGCCGTGAGCGCCGACAGCGTGAAGCCCAAAATCGTGATCCCTGAACCTCCGACCTCACGACCTTGTCCTAGGTAGTATTACGGACGGAGACCCCTTAAAGGGGACCCTTCTAAACCCTGCTTGTGGCTCTCTTAAAAGGGACCTTATTCAGAGGGTCTATATCCCCAAAAGTCCCCTTATTCCTATCTCCCAGCTTGAACCCTAACCCCCAAACCTTCTGTGGCCCTAAACCCTAAACCCTAAACCCTAGGCAAAAAAAAACCTTCTGTGGCCCTGACAAGGTGGCTACTGCTGCATACTTGCCCCTCGACTGAATGAACTTGCAGAGTCCTGGGGGTCTTCTTGGGGTTTTTTTTGCAGAATGACGACCCTTTAGTTTACCTACCCTATACAAGGCTATATAAGGACTTATATTTCGATGGCTTTTGGGCCTCAAGACCATGCTATATCAGGCTGTTGGGCTATACAATTTCGAGCCTTTTTGGGTAAGGGTCTGCATCAGGGCCTGGTATTCTCTGGACCAGTTCAGGGCCCCGAGGGTGTTGCTTTGAGATGTTGGATGCGCCGTCACATGGCTCAGGGCTTCAGGCCTGGCTCTTGGAAAAGGGCTGGGTATGCATTAATGGATTTTAGGGCTTAATAGGCGTATAGGGTTCCTTGGAAAACGTGTTTGAACCGACAAGATGGAGCGGCTGCTGCTCTTGCGTCCATCCTGCAGTGAAGCTGTGCGGCACCAAGCCCGGCTGGAGATGGTTTTCCTTATTACGCCATGGCTTGGTGCGATGGGCTCCATAATCTCTCGGTTCGATGACGATGCAGCGGGTCGCTTTGACTACGTGGCTGTTATTCACCTTGTCGGCGCCACGGTTTTGATCACCGTTGGTATGATCTTGTATAAAACGAACTGCCTGCCGTCTGCGGCCCATTATTTGGAGGACCCCAGCTGCAGCAGTGCACTCTGCGGATGGTTCAGCTGGCTCCCGATGGTTGCGACCTGTCCCACGCTGATGACTGGTGGTGCGCAGGACATTGTCGTCACTTGTGTGGACTGGATTGGTGCCATCATACTCTATGTGCCCTTGGTGGAGGAACCTCTCTCACTGATGGCCGCTTATGTTGCGTATGGGAGCCTTGCGTGGGCGAGAGTTGTACAGCTACACCTTTCAGAGGTGGACAGTCGAATCAGTGTCACACCCTACTTTTGCCGGCTAATTGCTGTCGTAGGTCTTACTGCCATCGCCTTGCAGATCAGAATCCGATATTTGAGCTTGAAAGGGACGCCACTCACTCCGGATTGTCTTGAAGCACGCGCCAGGACTCAATTTGAGGCAGACGAGGTTTTGCTTGAACAGCGCCAGATGCTGCAGCGCTTTCGGACTACACGTTATGTACAATTCGGGCATGGCAACGGCGTGGCTGCCGACAGGGAACGCGAGGTCTGGAGTCGCAGACGGCTTTACAAAGCTGAGTTGACGGGCCGGCTTCTGTGGGCAATCCATTTGCACAGGCAGTCAATGCTGAGCTCTGAGGTGTTGGACCACATCCTCACCTTCCTGTACGAGCCGATCAGACCAGTGGTGAACTGCGTCGGTTTATTGGCAGACGACGGAACGTCCATGATTTCCAGCACTCACGACACAGTCGCTAGCTCGGGAGTCTTATCCTCACTTTCATCGCTCTCGTCTGTCGCGGCCCTGCGCAAGGCGTTGTCGGCACGACAGTGGCTCGCTTTTGAGCGGCCTCCGTGCAACACCAAGTCGGAAGCTGCCGAAAGTGAGCAAGCAGGCAGTGGCAACGGCAACGCGCTTGTGCCGTCTCCACTGCGGTTCATGAAGTACTTCAGGGTTCGGAAGACTTAGTAAAGATAGTCGTATTGCCTCCGGTGGAATTGTACGATCATGCACTCCACAGCGCTATTCCTACTGGGACCCGCGTAGAACCAGTAGCTCTCCTCACTCAGGCCTCTACATTCAATCTCCGTTTCTGCACGACTGGGTCTTGGTTTCGGACTGTACTGGAGTGACAGTAACCCTAAATCCTAAACCCCTAAACCCTAAACCCTAAACCTATAAGCCCGAAGTCCTTAAGGAGCATCTACCCACGGAAGAAGACTAGAGGGCTCATGGGGTCTAGGGCATAACGCGGGCACCCAAACAATGGAGGCCGGCGCCTTTTCGGATTCTTTCGCGGACACGTGTTGATACCGACACAGGTGACATGCGCCTGCACTTACCTGTAATTAATTGCTGATCGGAGTCGGGCTTATTGGGTTGACCACCAGTGTTTGATCCATGTTCTCTCGTTCTACAGTTCTCGGAGAGTTTATGTTCGTCGTGCGTGGCTTCTGATGACCCAGATCCTACACTCCCAGGCTTCATTATACATGAATTTATATTTGGGGTCCTACTATAATTTAAGGTAGGGTTCTGAATTAAGGGATTTTGGACGGTCTGGGCATCCAACCCATGCCCCGGAGCGCGAAGGGCACAGGGAGCAGCTGTGAAGGCGGAGATTCTCTCGCGGAGAGCCCCGTGACAAGTGACTAAGTGTCGTCAATACCATACCGCACCATACCATACCACGCCATGGTACCATGCAACACAAGACATTTTACAATTTACAACATGTAACAAATGCCAACATTTCTGTCCATGTTCTATAAAGAAGGAGCATTGTGATCATGAGCTTGGATATTCAAACCAACACAGATAGAGAAGCATGTGTGTATGTAGAAATGCTCATGTATGTATTTGTTTTACTTTCTTGTTCGAACTACTATACTGACTGAAGCCATGATGTTTTTAATGTCCAGACTGGCAGTCTTCCAAGGTAATGTAGGGGCCTAGCTAATTACTAATACTATTGAGGGGAGTTCCTTATTGTAATTATAGTAGAATGGGCCCCAAAACCCTCTTCTAGTTATTAAGACTCCTATATCAAGTTTAGATGGCATTCCTTCCTGCACGGTTAGTTGGAGCTCCTCAGTCTGCTTCTTGGTTTTGGGGGATTTCGGGGCAGAAGGGCTGTAAGAAAGTCAGGGTGGAGGGGAGCATGGGCTAAACCCTAAACCCTAAGCTCTACCTGTAGCCGGAAAGACCTACCTTCTTAGGGTTCTCCATTATCATGGTTTCTAAAAAAAGTTCCTTAAAAAGATGGGTCTTCTCGGTTACAGGTAAGCCCTATAAAATTTAGGGGTTCAGGGCGTAGTCTAGGACATTCTCAGGTGGGTAGGTACCGTTACAGGAGCCTTATAGAAGCTTTCTATATACCTTATAGAAGCCTTATTGAAGCCCTAAATACCCTAAACTCCCCACCTGTAGTTTCCTTTAATGTAGGGGCAGCGGCGGGCTCCACGAGTGTAAAGTCTAGGGCGAAACCCAAACCAAAAAAAAAAACAGACGCACAAAAACCAAAACCCCAAAACACCCAAACCCAAAAAGGCCTTAAGCCCAAAAAACTCACCCAAAAAGCTTTAAAGCCCGAACCCCACAAGCCCTAAAGCCCATTCTACAACATCTCCGCCCTTCACTTCCGGGAGCCCATGTGCTGTTTCACCACCGACCTCAGCAGGCAAAAAACAGAGTCTAGGGTTTACGGTTTGGGGGTTTAGCGTGTGGGTTAACCCTAAACTCTGAACCCTAAACCCCCCCTGACCCCAAGGTGGCCCTGAACGAACCGACCCTTACTAAACCATAAACCCTCTGAGCCGAGGGTTGAGGCAATTTCAGGCTTACGGTGTTGTTCGGATACCTGGCCTTTGGGACATTTTACATTGACCCTCAATTCAGCCTAGGAGGATCTGACGAACATCTGTCAAAGGCCTTCAAGGGCCAACCTACCGTAAGGACGAAAATTAAGACTCTCATGGGGTCTAAGGTTCATATATCATAGAGGGATTCATAGTAGAAGGGTGTAGGACCAATTAATTTCAAGGGTCAGTCGGTCCCCAAGGTAGTCCAACATCCTCAACCTCTTGAAGCACCCTGAAGGAGCCTTCCATCTTCCTATCCATGAAACCACATACCTATCACCCTACATTGTTTCATGTATCTATCAGGCTGTCTATCTATCGATCTATCTACCTCCCCACCATTTTGTGTTGTCTCTCTCTCTCTCTCTATCTGCTTATCTATGTATCTCTCGCTCTATCCAGCTATTTATCCGTCTATCAATCAATCTATCTATCTATTTATCCAGCTACCTACCTACCTACCTACCTACCTACCTACCTTCCTACCTACCTACCTACCTACCTACCTATCTGTGTATTTATCAGTCTCTGTCTCTGTCTCTGTCTCTGTCTCTCTCTCTCTCTCTCTATCTGTCTGTCTGTCTGACTGTCTGTCTGGTTGGGTAGTGTTGCATGCATGCATGCATACATGCATGCATAGATACATGCTGGTACCTGCATGCATACACACATACAGGCAGCAGGAGAGACGGTTCGACCAGACACACGAGCGTACGCACATACGTACATACACACATAGAAGTACTTTCATGCATGACACACCTGCATGCATACGTACATACATACATACGCTCATACATGACCGCATACATGAGGCTATTGGTGTTTACATGGAATGCATGTGAATGTGATTGTGCTGTGGTATTAATATGCACTGAGTACGGCTTGGCGGGCATCATTTGCATTGGTTTTGCCAATGCTTACGAGTTTATGCGCATCGTGTTTAATATGTGTTTCAACGATTTACGGCTTTGGGAGCATCATTTCCTTTTGTGTTTCCAATGTTTGCGGATTCGTCTGCCCCTTTTCTATTGGTTTCCCGATGTGTTGAAACAAGTGTGTGCTATTTATTTTTCAAAAGTGTTTCAGCTTTGTAAATCGCTTTTATTGTTTGTTTCCAATGTTTTCGTGATTCAGAAGCGCGAATCATTGGAAACAAAAACAAATAAACACCATGATTTTGAAACTATCTCCAGGTGCGACACCACCCGCAGGAGATAGTTTCAAAATCATAGTTGTTATGTTTGTTATTGGGTTTTCCGATGTTTCCGTGTTTCAGAAGCCGAAACATTGGAAAACCAATAAAGCCATTAAACAAAAAACAATGATTATCAAACTATCTCCTGGGGGTGGTGTCGAGCCTGGAGATAGTTTGAAAATCGCTTTCTTTTATGCTTTCTATTGATGTTTCTTTCGGCTCTGTGTGCACCGTTTTATGGTTTTTTCCAATGGTTTGGGCTCTGTGTGTGCCCCTTTTATTGGTGTTGCCAATGTTTTGGGCTCTGTGTGTGTGTATGTGTGCGCCGCTTTCATTGGTTTTCCAATGTTTCGATCGAAAACATTGGGCTCATAGGTTCTGGCACTGTTCAGAGAGCATCATCTCGTGGTTTTCGACTGTGTCGGAGAGCATCGCGGTTTCGGGACTGCGTGGGTAAACACAATCTCGCGGTTTTGGGACTGTGTGGGAGAGCACGAATGACAAGTAGGACTGTCCGGAGTAGATGTGCAAACAAGCCGCCTGGATGACGCAGTGCCGAATCCATGTGCTGAGCTCCGGACCGGAACAGGAAACACCGGAAAAGTGGAGGCACATGCGGGGGTACCATATACATATACATATATACATAATATACATATACATACATATATATATATACATATATATATACATACATACACATAGAGAGCGAGAGAGAGAGAGAGGGAGAGAGAGAGAATGCATATTTTCCACAAATTCCCCTCAGTTCGTGACATAGTTCATTGGTTTCGCCCGATATCTCAGGCCATACAGTATTGAATCGGTCGCTTCCCACGCACATGACTTCCTTCAGAGAACAGAAATGGGAAACCTGCTTCAGAAGACTCTCGAGACGTGTTGCTTGCCGACATTCGATGCCGTGGTATGGCTCAGGGCCTCGGGCGTGGCTCTTGAATGAGAGTTAGATAGACAGAGTTTTGCTGACTAGTTGAGGCTTTGCTCCACAAAGGGCTGTCATCGATAAGATGGAGCGGCTGCTTCTGTTGCGACCATCCTGCAGTGAAGCTGTGCGGCACCAAGCCCGGCTGGAGATGGTTTTCTTTATTACGCCGTGGCTTGCTTCGATGGGCTTCATAATCTCTCGGTTCGATGACGATGCAGCGGGTCGCTTTGACTACTTGGCTGTTATTCACCTTGGCCTCGCCTTCGTTTTAATGACTTTCGGTATGATCTTGTACAAGATGAACTGCCTGCCGTCTGCGGCCCATTATTTGGAGGATCCCAGCTGCAGCAATGCACTCTGCGGATTGTTCAGCTGGCTTCCAATGGTTGCGATCTGTCCCACATTAGTGACTGGTGGTGCGCAGGAGATTGCTGTCACTTTTGGGGATTGTTTTGGTGCTATCATAATGTATGTGCCCCTGGTGGAGGAACCGCTCTCACTGATAGCCGCTTATGTTGCCTACGCAAGCATTGCATGGGCGAGAATTCTGCATCTGTGCATGTCACAGGTGGACAGCTGCATCAGTCTCACACCGTACATTTGCCGATTAGTGGCTGTTTTAGTCTTGACTGCCATCGCCTTTCAAATCAGGTTGCGCTACTTGAGCTTGAAAGCGACGCCACTCACTCCGGACTGTCTTGAAGCACGCGCCAGGACTCAATCTGAAGCGGAAGTGGTTTTGCGTGAAAAGCGGAAGATGCTGGAGAGCTTTCAGACTAGACGTTGTGATTATGTACAAGAAGGGCGTGAGAATGGCATGGCTGCCGACAGGGAACGCGAGGTCTGGAGTCGCAGAGGGCTTTACAAAGCTGAGTTGACGGGCCGGCTTCTGTGGGCGATCCATTTGCACAGGCAGTCAATGCTGAGCTCTGAGGTTTTGGACCATATCCTCACCTTCCTGTACGAGCCGATCAGACCAGTGGTGAACTGCGTCGGTTTATTGGCAGACGACGGAAGGTCCATGATTTCCAGCACTCAGGACACAGTCGCTAGCTCGGGAGTCTTGTCCTCACTTTCATCGCTCTCGTCTGTCGCTGCCCTACGCAAGGCATTGTCGGCACGACAGTGGCTCGCTTTTGAGCGGCCTCCGTGCAACACCACGTCGGAAGCCGCCGAAGCTGAGCGGTCTGCCAGTGGCAAGGGCAAGGCATTCATGGAGACTTTGGGTCGTCTGAGTCGTCTCCTGTTCGTAGGCACTGTGCCTGAATGAAACTTTAATCCCTAAACCCTATATCAAATACTGTCCGAACGAATTTAGCTTGTCTCACCGTGGAGCCGCCGGCTAGGCCTCAGGGCAGACATACGAGGATTGGGAGCGGTGTTATTCGTAAAAAAGAATAGCACCAGTAATACTAGCAATAGTAATAGTAGTAGTTATGATAATGAGAAGATTGACAATAGTTTAAATACTGGTAAAAATGATAACACCAGCCATGATGTCTACAGTAATAGTAAAATAGCAATGAGTTGCGAATACTTAGTAATCAGAATTCGTATTCCCTTGTTTGTTCGTTGAGGGGCTAGCCTCCACGAGATTCCATACACCCCCGCACCCTGTCAATCCTAAGCCAAAGCTTCAAGCCCCAGACAGCGAGATCCCCCCAAACCGGCCTAACCCTTAAGGGCCCTCGTGCTCCAACATTTGATTTTTCCGTGTAGACTTTCGCCGCCCCAAAGTAGCTGTATAGGAACTACCAACTACCTCAAGGCTGAAGTATACTACATGGGTGCCTGGACCCTTAGCGTAATGCAGAAGCCGAAATTTAGTAGTTGAGGTAACTCTTGCCTTCTTTGGGCTACTGGACCTCTTATGTCATCCCAAACAGATAACCTTTATAGTTCCCCTAGTATATCGTATTCCCTTATAGTCCGCACTAGAGGTTTAGTATACTTTACACAAAAATCCCTGCTCCAATTGTTAATGCCTTTTTCTGGCGAAGAGTCTCGGAAAGCCCGATCATCATGTATTTTCCAGCCCGTGTGTCCGTCTAAACCTTGGATACTCGTTCTGGAACCCTAAACCCAAAAGCGCCCTAACCTAAACCTTAAACTCCCGAACCCCAAACAACCCTAAATCTAAATTTATCTTGCTGGACTATGTAAGTTTGCCCGGCGAACCCAATACTGTATCCCTGAGTCAAGGAAGAGACCTTCAATGAGAGAGGAGCTTTGAGTATCATCTATAATGGAGGAGTCTCGGGCCTTCTTGAGAAACAGAGTCCGTACGAACAGGTTTGAGAGCCCATGGGTCCAGGGCTATCCAGTGCTGTACAGTTCTTATCGACCCCTATAGTATTGTATACGGACCCAGACCCTATTCTGACATTCTGGATGCGTCGGGAAGGGTCCGCAGCTCAAACATCCCGGTCTTCGCTGCCTTGGGCCGAGAATGATTTTTCAAAAAAGCATACCTTTGCTGCGCCATGAGAGGCCGAGCAAGAAAGAGCTGTCACAAGCATGGGCTGAGGTCTCAGAGGTCAGAGGTTCGGGTTCCCTAGACCGTACACCCATCATGTGCCGTACCTTCTCCAAACCTTAAACCTCAAAGCCCTAAACCCGAAACCCAGCATGTGCTGCCTGCTCCGCTCGCCATATATAGAGCTCTAGCTGGCCCTGAATCACCTCAGAAACCTATCAGTTTTCACGGTTCAAGGCACTGTTCCGCTGGCCGAGCTATTATAGGGCTCTGAGGAACCAGCAATAGCATCTGAGTATCCCATTATCGTACTTGCATAGCTATCAGATCCCCCTCCAAGAATTATTTAGGCCATCTTGGATATGCGAGCCCTTGCAGTGACCCGTGCAGTATCCCTTCTAGAAGCCGTCAAAGGAACTCAATTGCAAGGAGTTCTGGCCCTATATCAGCCTATATCATCTGTTCGGGATGTTGTCGGCCGAAGCTCCTAAACCCTAATCCCTAAACCCCTAAACGCCTAAACCCCGAAACCTAAAACCCTACTCCTTCCCTGAGCTCAAGAAGTTTTCTCGCTGTCGGGAGAGGCTCCCCAACTTAGCCTTTCGGGTTTGGGGCTCTGCAGCCGCCATGTATTCTTGGACCCCACATGTAATAGCTTATTATAGTCATATGTGTATATTTGTCGGTTTATAGTGGAACATGTATTTAATTTCTCTGTGGATACATATATCTAGCTGTGTGTATAAATAAATATATATATATANNATACATACACACACGTACATACACATCTGTGTTTGTGTATGTACATATGCATATGTACATTGGCAAAAAATATTTATACACTTGTGTCTTTGTGTATGCCTATAATTGGAACATGGGGCTTGGGGTCGGAGCAGGTACTCAACATACTCCACGGGTTCATCATCCATCTCTCAATAGCATCTTGCAGCCACCTAAGATTAAAACCTGGAAAGTTTCGGGACAAACCCTAAACTCGACCCGACATGATCAATCACTCCGAGCCTACAACCTTGAGCTTTAGACGCCTTGAACCCCGAAACCCGACAGCACCCCCAGGAAAGTCAGCGGCTCGCTGTCTTACTACCGCGACGACGGGGTGGAAGAGTTGGACGACAGTCGCTGGATCACAGAGGTTTGCCTGTGGACACTTTGGCAGAGAAGATGACGGCTTGGGGGGCTAGGGCTTTGGTTGCAGAGTCTAGGGCTTAGCGCTTTAGAGTACGCGACATTAGGGGTTCTGCGCGTGGCTTGAAAGCCGAAATCGGCTTGGAAGGCAGTCGGGTTAGAACAAGATCCCCAATAACTGGGCCTTAAGAAAATACGGTTTGCCAAAAGCCCTGTTGCCTCCTATCAGGTTACATATAGGGGGGGTTTCGGAGGGAGGCTCGAGGGGCTTTGAGCTCAAAGGAGTTCTGCTACCGCAGCTAGGCATCTCTTAGGCGGAGTCAAGCGGCCTAGGATTTTGGGGTTTAGGGTTAAGGGTCCAGGGGTAGGTGTGTCACCAAGTCATCACTTCTGTGAGGGACGTTGATCTTCCCGGCATTCTGCATCCAGGCGATCATCAGCGACGCTCTTGAAGCCACCAAGCTCTGAATTCCTTCCTGTAGCACCATGGTTTGGGGCTTAGTTTAGGGGCCTTATAAATAGTAGTTACCTATACTATTTTTTTCGGGGGGGGGGGGGGGG